GGGGGGGGGGGGGGGGCGGAGACAGACAGACAGACACACAGACTCACAGACTCACATACTCACAGACTCACAGACTCACAGACACATCTCTCTCTCTCTCTTGCTTAACTAACTACGCAGCCCACCGCTGCATGTGTCGGCGTGTGCGCCACGCACTCTCGCACACGCGCATTCACCCAAATTCGCAAACCCCACGCACAACTAGGGTTTGGCTGAGCACGTCAGCCCACCCTGCAATGGGAAAAGCCTTCAAAACAGAATATAGGGTTTAGGGTGTAGGGTTTGCAAGGAGCGGTCTGTGAAACCTCTGCGGGAATGGCGCAAACGTTCCCGAAGATGGGCGCGACTGGGATAAAGGACAAGAAGCTTGCGGATGCCATGGACAAGCTTCCCGATACTATCCGGAAGCTCTGGCCAGATGAGAAGGAGCATCGACCGGCAAGCCACACACACCACACAAGACAAGACAACACAAGACAACGCACACACGGCTCTGTGTGTGTGTCAGATGATTGAGGCGCTCGAGTCATCAGGCCGCGCCGGCCGTGTCGCCCCTGCCATGTTCGTTCTGTACCTGACGGAGGAAGAGGTCAAAGCGAGGCTTCCGAGGATGCTGCTGGAAGGTGAGAGAACGCACACAGATGGGGAGGACACACGTTTGCAGACGCCGTGCTCTGTCGTCTGTTCAGATGCTGCTCCGCAATCCGCCATGCCTCCACCTTCATACGACAGGGACAAGCCTTCCAAGGACACGGTGATGACCAAGAAACGAAAGAAGGGTGACCAGTGACTGACATGGGATGTGCAGACGGTGTTGGCTGACCGACATACATTGCACTGCACTGGGGGACTTATGTCGTTGCTTGTGAGTGAGTGGTGTGCATAACCAAACGTGCTGATTACGTGTGGGCAGCTCGTCCATTTATGTGGTGCATGGTATCTCTATTGCGAGTCTTTTTTCGCTGCTGTGTGTGGACACCTTGTGTGTACAGTTTGTGAGCCTCAAGTAAGGCAGCGCATGATGTATCGAATTTGTGTGCACTCTACTGCACTGCTTCGTCTGACTGACTCCCTCAGTGCTTTATGTGTGGCATGTGGCTTGCTATCTGAACTATCTTGTCTTTTGCGAGACCTTCAATCATTCTGCGTGTTCACTCTGGTTGGAAGTGATATCGATGCTATGAATGTCGCGCTGTGGCACGCATCCGCACTCCATCGACACATCCACGCATTCGCTGGATGTCACATGTACCAAATGATGTCATGCATGTGCCGTTAAAGACATGTGTCAGTGCAACTTATCTGATGCCGAATGTCTTCATTGACTATATTCGCCATCCTCCGCTGCCGAAAAGGCGCGCTGCGGCTGAGGAATCACGCATCATGAACATTGCCCAGCGCCGGCTGCCATTCGTCGCCGATGACAACATCTCAGCAGATCGCGCTCCCCTCCAGCATCTCACTCAGGATCTACACGCGCGCGCACACCTACACACACGACACACATGTGATAGTACAATCAGCAGCAGCACGAGACGAGGTCATGCAAAGTGATCCGCCTCCCCCACCCGTCGGCCAGTCATGCATCCGGCCACATCCCAGCTATCGCTCCAATGTGAGTGTGTTGTCATCCGTCCTGACCACCACAAATGGCGACCCGGCCGATGTCAGCGCATCATCCACAGCAGCAGACGCCAAATAGGCAGGCGAGTGACGCAGCAGGTGCGGGCTCCCGACGACCAAATGCTGAGTCACCTCTTCGCCGAACTGGACCGTCATCAGCCGGCACGTGTTGTTGATGACGGTCATGATGAAGTCCGTCTGCACACTGCCGAAACGGTCGTGGACGCAGTAGGGCGTGCTAATGATCAGCGCCTTGATGGGCGGGAGGCGGGCGGCGAGTTCGGGCGTCGCAAAGAGGTGGTTGATGGGGCATGTCTCTGGCCGGAATGCCCCGATAGGCTGTGCGGGCATAAAGTCCAACACCACCTTGTCCACATGGCCGGTCACGTCAAGACTTTCGAGGGCCAGCTGTGCGAGGAGACCGGGTGCGGCCTCGCTTGGCGGCGGCTGGCCCGTGCCGTAGCTTGTGTCGTATCGGCTGGGGAAATCCGTGAGAGCGACGATGATCTTCTCGACCTGTCCCTTGGCTGGCTCGAGCAGCTCCCTCACCCCGCCCTCTCGAACCAAGTGGATGGACGGGGTCATGATGAAGACAATCCGCAGTCGCGGGAAGCGGTTGCACGGCGTCGCTAGGAGCGACGGCAGCATGCCATTGGTGAGAAGAGAGTCCTTGATGATCAATTGAGTCAGCGACTCGAACACGTAGTCGCCGAAGCTTCCGCGGGCAGCCGCCGGTGCCGCGACCGACACCGTCTTGACCTTCATGGACTCGGCCACTCGGGCCATTTCGCGGACGATCTTCTTGGGCAGCACGTCGAAGGCCTTCAGGTCGAGACGCAGCAGCCTCTCGTCAAATGAGTCGGGCGTGCAGACGAGCAGCTGGAAGGGCCGCTGGGTGGGCTTCTTGTCGGCCATCTCGCCACTCGCATCGTCGTCATGGTCATCTGTGAGCACCATGTTGGGGAAGAGAGGCGCCCTCCTCCCGCCGCCCACCGACGGCTCACACACAGCTGCAGCGCTCGAAGATGACTGAGCTGCCGTGCTGTCCGCCCCATGGTCCCGCTGGTTGACCACATTGGCCATGATGTGGTCCTCCCACGATGTGACGGGGATGGCCGTCACTTGACTGTCGGCAGCCCATATGCCCTCACCAGCCAGCCGACGAATGGCCGTGGCGAGGGCTCGCAGGCTGGTGAGGATGCCATCTGGCTCCATGTCATCCACGTCAATACACACGCTGAGTGTGTGGATGCGGCCGTTGCGGCCGACGGCCCCCTTGGCCTCCAGGACACTCAGCAGCGGCCCCCAGAATGAGGCGTTCGTCGCCTCCAGAAGAATGCAGCCCAGTGAGGTCAGGTTGACCAAAGAGGGGGCGGCCGACAGGGATGAGGTGAGGAGGGGAAGGCTGATGGGCGTCACGTGGACGTGGGTGAGGTGGGGCGATGCCTCTATCCAGCTCATGAGGTACGGAGGCGCAATGAAAGAGCTGCTGACGAGTGTCTTGAGGGCGGGGAGGGACCATCGCCGCGATTTGGCCACGCCCTGCTGTGCCGCCCAGCACCACCTCCTCAAGCTTGCCGAAGGTGACCGTCGGCGTCCCGGGGCTGTCGAAGGGTTTGGAGGTGTGCTCGGGCTCCTTCGTGTCCGCCAGTCGACACTTCTTGAGCGATGCCGCCGAACCCTCGAGCACCTTGGCGTAGACCGACCGATGGCCGAGGGCGCGGCGGCGTCCCTCCGTCGCCTCCTCATAGCCACCCACCACTTGCGGCGGCTCATTCTCCTCTTCTCGCCCGTCGTCACTGGAGGTGTCGTCGCCCGGCCGGTCCTGATCGGGCCCTCGCGAGTGCGTCTGTGGCGATGGCAGCCGTCTGCAGGCGGGTCAGCCGGCCCCGCAGCTGCCGCAGGACGGCCCGCGATGCTCTGCGCCACATCGGGTGGGTGGTGGGGGTGATGATCAGGTGGCGGATGACGAACGGCGAACGGCACGTGTCCTGCATGGTCTTGTTGAGGAGGGCCAGGCGGATGGCCTCCAGGGTTGGCATGTGGTCACACACATGGGCCAGCTTCTCGGGCGGGACGCCACACAGCGACGCATTGGGCGGCGGGGCGGCCTGACAAGACAAGCAAGCAGACACATCCATGTGTGTGTGTGCTTCACGTAGCGTCGTTGACTCACCAGTCGTCGCTGTGTGATAATGGCATTGGCGATCGCCTGAGCCTCCGGGCTGCTGAAATCTGACACACACACACACGGCACGACAACAACATCAGCGCATTTCACACCTCGTCTGTGCCGTGGTTGCCGTCATCTCATGCACCTGTCGGCTGTCCCTCGCGCCGCTGCTGAGGCTCTTGATCTCCCTTTTGCGTTGCCGCGGCAGGCCGCAGGAAGCGACGAATGTCAACTTGGCGCGGCATGACTGATGTGATTGATGGTGAGCGGGCAACTTAAAGGCAGCACGCAGCTCGTGTGTCTTGATGAGCTGAGAGGCAAAGCCCGAGAGGCGCAGCAGCACCAGAAAGGCCGGCGGCTCTCCGTGGGCGAGTCAACAAGAGAGATCTGAAGTGCCGATAGCAGGAGGACACCTGCGGAGCCTCAAAAGGCGCTGGTGTCAGGCTTCGGGTTTCAGGGTTCCGCCGGGAACCCCGCGTTTTTCCCCTCCAGTCTTTATTTCTCACCTGCACTAGCGAGAAGCCCACGCGCTTTGACGCGCAAAGCGCGTGAACGAGAGCAAACAAAAAGGAGATAGGGAGCAAACAAAAACAGTTTGTCTGGCCGGCTAGCAGGCGGCGGAGCGAGCAGGGCTCGGTCGCTGGCCACGTCGCGGCGGTGCAGGCAAGCGTCTGTTCCAAAGGAGCAATTGCAAAGGAGAATCTCAAAGGACATGTTGAATCACATGTGAAATGGTCCTAGTAAAGGTTCAACATGCCCTGGTGGAGGGAGAGAGAGAGAGAGAGACAACCGATGTGTGCAGAGGGTGTGTGGAATGCACACACACACAGACACACACACGCTCGGCTCGGC